TATATATATATATATATATATTTATTTATTCAGCAAGGATGCATTAAATTAACCAAAAGTGATTTATATTTACCAAAAGATATTTTGACCAAATATGACCCAATATTTATCTAAAAATATTTAGAATGTTATAAATTATTTCTGTTTTAAATAACTAAACTTTCATTTAATCAAAGATTTCCCAAAAACGTTTAATGGTTTCCACAAAAATAGATAATAATAATATTACTACTACTACTACTACTACTAATAATAATAATAATAACATTGATAATAATAATAAATATTTCTTGAGCAGCAAATAAGTATATTAAAAAGATTTCTGAAGGATCATGTGATATCGAAGACTGGAGTAATGATGCTAAAAATTCAGCTTTTCTCACAGAAATACTGTAAATTAGTTTAAAATATATTCAAAAAGAAAATCTGAAAAATATTTCACAATATTACTGTTTTTACTGTATTTTTTAACAAATAAATGCAGCCTTGGTGAGCAGAAGAGACTTCAAAGTGTGTTCAGTTGCATTTTTCACATCAGACTCAAAATGCTTAATAATGGTTTAGATTTGGTCATGTTTTGTCACAATTTTTATTTACATATTATGGCCCTCAAAAGTGGTGTAAGATCCCTCACGCACGATATGTGGCAAGAATCATTCAACATTATTTATACAGTCGTCTCCCTCTTGCTCAGCACTTTTTCCACTGTCTGGCCTCAGTTAGGTGACGTACGCTTTGTCTTCATCAAATGGACTTAAATAAGCAACACTCTGACACGACGTCCTCTAAAGCACTAGCAGGAAAACCCAAGGACAGCTCGAGTTCAAGAATGTCCTCTATTTCCTCAACTGCAAAGCGTTGCCAAACAAGCGGTGCTCCCACGGAGGAGAGCAGGCAGCAGGGAAGTGCACATGTTTACGTAAAACAGTAATATTGTGAAATATTAATACTATTTAAAATAACTGTTTTCTGTGTGAATTATACAGTATATTTAAAATTTTCAGCATCATTACTCCAGTCTTCAGTGTCACATGATCTTCAGAAATCATTCTAATATGCTGATTTGCTGCTCAAGAAACATTTCTGATTATTATCAATGTTGAAAACAGCTGTGCTGTTTCATATTTTGTAGAAACTGTATATATTGCTGACCCCAAACTTTTGAATGTCAACATTTTCTACTGACATTTCACAAGCATTAAATCTAGTGTTGAACCACTTCAAACCATTTGAAGAAATGGCAATTAAATGTCACATTTCTAGTTTTGTCACTACTGTTTGGGTAATTGTATTCTGTGGTGTTCAGGAAGGAAAGAGGAGTTTTTATTAAGTCAGTACTCTCTGCTCTGTGTGTTATTAAACTGAAACATTAACAAATCTCAAATGATGTATGTATTGGCTGTGCGACTGTAAAATAAACTCTTATATTTCATCTCCAGCCAGCTTGTTTCCCTCTCTCGGCCTCGTCTTTTAGTGCTTCAGCAACACTGAAGTTAATCTAATCATTTGCTCACCAATTTGAAGGTCTTCGCTTCACCTGCCGCAATTTAATAGAAGGACAAAACGCTGTTTATGTAATTACACTGAGTATGTTTCTTTGCCAGAGGGGCCCTGGAGCCAGCTAAACAGAGCTTCTGAAACCAATTCACTGCTGCAGATGGTTTGGGTTGCAAGACAAACACAGAGACAACAGGAGCTACTATAAAACAAGAGGTGAGCACGAGTTCACACTCGGCATGACGGAGAGATGGAGAGCTCTGAGGGAGACGCTTGTAGATGGGTCACATCAACATAGACGGTTTCTCACGGCGCTGGGTAATTAGAGGCGTCCTGCTGCGCGTATAGAACTAGAACAACAAACAAAGTGCGGCCCCTGTGTCTTCTCGCAATACACTTCCACCTGGATGCCCGCATGCATCCTATTCAACCCTTGTTGGGGAAAGTTACTTTTAAAAGTAATGCATTACAATATAGCGTTACTCCCTAAAAAAGTAACTAATTACATTACTTAGTTACTTATTATGGAAAGTAATGCGTTACGCTACTTTTGAGTTACTTTTTAAATCTGGGCAGGGCTTGCTTGTTTGTTTTTAATATAAAAAAGTTTTTCTTTTACAAATGTAAAAGCCCTTTTCACATCAGAAGTGAAATGAATACGCCTCAGGCTGAAGGAAATGCAAATTCACATCTGTACCGTAGAGGGCGCAGCTCAAACTAATTGCATGAAGAACATGTCGCAGGAAAAGAGAGTTCAACACTATTCAGCAATAACAAAAATTAAACAAATGTGTCATTTTTGCTTATTAGTATGGTTGAATTAGATTATCGAAGGTCAGTAGCAAAGACATTGGTTAATAAAATGGGATTAAATACATAAATGATATTTGTCTTATTTAACATATTTAATTATTGCAGGTTAATATTATATTCTGAGTTTGCACTTCTAAATTAAAAAGTAATGTTACTTTACTAGTTACTTGAAAAAAAGTAATCTGATTATGTAATTTTTGTGACTTGTAATGCGTAACCCCCAACACATGAGGAATTACTTTCAGAAGAGGGAGGTAATGCTGCAGAAATTATCCAATGAAATTTAAGATGGTAAAACAATGTTAACAGCTCCGTCTGTATCAAAACACAAGGATATATAGAGTGAAATCTGAGCGACTCAGGACAAACTATGTTTACGTTAAAGATAATTTAATTCTTTCAGAAAGATTTTGGAATGCAAAAACAAATGATGGTCAAAATATCAAATACACCATTAAGGACAGACCAAAAGTAAATGATTTTGAATACTTAGTAGTATTTTTGTTTTTTTAATAATTTTTTTCTAAAAATCCTATTTTTTGGTAAATGTTTAATTTAAATAAAAAAAAAACTAAAAACTGTTTTGTAAAGAAAGAACATTATACTAGTTTGGAACAACATGAGGGCAAGAAAATAATGTTAGAATATTCCTTTTTTGGTGAAATATCCTTTTAAGAAGTAGTATTTCTGTCAGTTACTGACAGTACATTTTTGCATCTTCTGTGTTTCTCATTGTTAAAAAGATATAGAAAAAGTAACAATTAGGAAACGCATGATCAAATATACATATAGTATAATCCATTAAAAGTGAAAGATCATCCATTAAAATGTACAATTCCACTGCTTCGTTTTCTTTTTGAGAAGGCTGAGTTCATTTTAAAGTGGTCTGTCTAGCAATCTTAAAGAGTCTCTCCATTAATCGTCAAACTAAAGGAGGAAATGTTCTTGGTCATGCTGCTGATAACTACAGAATGCTTTTCAGCAGGGGAAACAGAACATGAGGGAGCTGTAGGTCAGTGTGAGACACGTTCGAGAAACCCGAGATAACGATACACTGACCAGCTGCAAGAAACTGTGCGCTTCCTCCTGTTTCCACAACTTCCTCTGCTGACCGAATGCCTATCTCTTTATATTCTACACGCTTTTCTCGAATCTGTCCCTTTAAATCATGGATATGATGACCACATACCCTTAGAAAGGAGGATTCAGACTTGTCACATTTTCCAGCGCATATCATTGAACCTATTTGTCACCATTTGGCACGACGTTCATGGCCCACCCATGGGCCGCCTGGTGCATATTACAAACACAATGTTCAAAGACAATGTTCTTCATGCAATTTTCAGTAGGTTTTTATCAAATCATTGGTCTTTACCAATGAAAACATCTTAGGAGTCACTGAACTAGTTGCTGGATTTGCAAGTTTACCAATTATATTGGAGTATTTAGTTTGAAAATGGCCAGAATAAACTGCAAACTTCAGAAGCCTGCAAGTCAATAGTCAAAATGTCTGGTGTAGAGAAACCATTGGCAAATATAGAGTTTCACTGACTTACTCTTTGTAAGAAGTTGATGTAGTGAACCTCTCTGGAGAAATTTAAGTAGATGTTGGTGTCGTAGGCGTCATCTCCAGCATTAGAGATGGTTAAATTTAACGAGACGTTTCTTACTCCACCAAGAGCCAGATGAGAACTGATGTAACGCCTGGGGAAATGATAGAAATTAGAAAAAGTGAGACAAGGACAACAGGATGAATCTCAAGAAACCTGTTAAGAATATAGGAACCTGGTATTGTGTATTATGAATATCGTTGGCTTTTTGACAAATTGCTTTACTCCTTCTCTTTTAATAAAAGCATCTGCTATTTGCATAAATATTAAAATATTTGCATCATATTTCACACCATAAGCAAAAAAAAGAGAAAAATCTTAAAAGTATGCCTATTTTAGGACAATCAATATTTTTTGCATTGTGACTTGATGACAGATTTATTAGCAAATTCTCATGACTGTACTGTGAAATTAATGATTATATCATTTTAATCTTCAATTACCTACTTAATATATCACTGTAGTATTTCTTGTAACATTACATTTTGATGATTTAAATAACAAAAAAACAAAATCAAAAGAAATGAGAAATTCAACTTTGCATTAAGAAAAATGAAGCCTATTTTAATACAATTTATATTTTCGCATTGTGACAGTTTTCAAGACAATTTGATCTACAAATTATTATTACTGTATTGTGAAAATAATTTTTGTTTTATTATTTTAATCTAAGTATTTATTATATATTACTGTAGTGCTTAGTGTAACACCAATTTTATTTTATAATCACTGGTACTATAGGCCTATATAGAATACAGTATATACATAAACAGAATATATATACACATAAATGCATTTTTTGCAATGATTACTCAAATGTGGTGATCAAACACTTATAATGACGTGACAAAGATATGTACTGATGGAGGCCGGGCATTTAACAATTTAACAATAAACTTTATTATCTAAAATGAATCTGACATCAGTGCACTGAACAGTAAAGTTGAAGTTTATTCAACTTTAATTCAATTCAATTCCATTCAACTTTATTCCGTTGAAGTTTATTTCACTTTGGAACATTCATTCACAGAATTTGCGCTACTGTCTTCACACACAGACGGAACTTACTAGAGAAGTGTGAAGTGTGACATAATATACCTCTGTAAGTAAATATAAATTCACGTCTCACGCACTTTAATGCCCTTTGAATGTAACGTGTATGTTTCCTTGGAACTGGAATCATGGCGGAATATCATGTGAAGTCCACTTCGCAGGGTACTTATGGTCGAATATAACAGCGCTTGAATGCTGCTGCCTGAACAAGAGGCCTCCTTACTGAAGTGAAAGTGTTGGCTGGTGTCACTATCTGGCGAATGCGCCGGCGGATCTCCACCAAATTCGGGGGACCCCTTCAGCTCGAGAAGCCCTCTCAAACACCACCCTCCGTGCGTCGGTAGCCCCCCCGGTATCGCTAGATCGGTCGGTGCCGGACCGCGAATTTAACCACCCGTAACTCCCGAACCCCGGGGGCTATCAATGTGGGGGTGGTCTCATTCGAAAGAGGGCCTTGAGACATACACTCGATTCGGTTCCTCGAGCAGAAGGGATCCCCCGAATTTGGTGCGGATTCGCCGCGCCTTTACGGAGATATGGCCGTTCAAAGTTTCAATGGTTTTCCATAGATTTAAGCTTTAAAGTGTTTCATCCAGGTAGCCAGTAGGAAACAATTGAGCACACTCTGCTGGACAAACTAAGTAATTACACAATTTCAAGCATTTTAGCTGCGTTATATGTTCTGTAAAAAAAAATTCATATCGGTGGCATAATCGCTGATATATCGGTATACAGGCTCATATCGGCCGATAATATCGGCTAAACGATATACCGGTCAGGCTCTAGTAAAGATCATGTTCCATGAAGACATTTTGTAAATTTCCTACTGTAAATATATCCAAACTTAATTTTTGATTAGTAATATGCATTGCTAAGAACTTTATTTTGACAACTTTAAAGGCGATTTTAATAAAAGTAAAAGATCTAAATGTATTTATGCAATAAAAATATTGTAATACAAATAAATAAATAAATAAAAACTAGCACTGGTCCTAAAAATAGACCTACTTTTCCTGTCACAGAACATGAATGCTTGTTTTGTAGCCATTTCAGTAAAATGTGTTTTCAATTACTAGCACATACAGTAAGCAGTGAAATCACTATCCACTCTTTAAACAGTGAAGGTTCAGCATTTAAGGAAACACTTTTAATTTCAGAGAAACCAGATCATTGGGAACCAGACTGCAGGACCTCCTTCAGACTAGCTAATGAATGACGTCATGGACTGCTGAGAGTCAAGCGTGTGTCCACACCCACAGACTCAGCCCTACTGACGTAAATCTACTGAAAGCAGGAGAAGACCAGGGACTTTACCCAGAAAGCAGCAGTTTCCCATGAAGCCTCAGGTCAGCGGCGCAGTCCTCTGACAGACAGTTCTTCTCAAACCACGTCTGTGAAGAGTCAAACAGAGCACAGGATGTTTACACCAAATATACTGACAGTGAGTCAGTATAACCCGAGACGGGACACAAATACTAGAGGGTGCTGTTGTGCAAGACTTCACACACTCGATGGGACATTTTCCTAACGGCTTTCAAAGCTCCAGTATTTGAGTAGTGGTTTCAAGCATAAAGCACAAGAAAGTGCCGTGTGTTTGCATTGGACAGATTTAGACATCGACACCTTTGCTTTAGTGCTACAGACAAACTGCACAGTTACTAATAGCCTCAGATTCCATTGTAATGGATTCCTGATGCGCTGAAAGATGCCAGCAGCGTGTTTCCTAAAGCTGAGAAGGAAAAGCATGTGGCCTAATGGGAGGGTGGGTTATGAAGTGGGGTGTTGGCAAATAAATTCATCAATCTTCCACATTCCACTCACAAAGAGTCAACAGCCATCATCGAGCACTAACTAAAACCACATTTATAACTAGAGAAATAGTAGCCCCCCGGTATCGCTAGATCGGTCGGTGCCGGACCGCAAATTTAACCACCCGTAACTCCCGAACCCCGGGGGCTATCCATGTGGGGGTGGTCTCATTCGAAAGAGGGCCTTGAGACATACACTCGATTCGGTTCTTCGAGCAGAAGGGTTCCCCCGAATTTGGTGCGGATTCGCCGCGCCTTTACGGAGATATGGCCGTTCAAAGTTTCAATGGTTTTCCATAGATTTAAGCTTTAAAGTGTTTCATCCAGGTAGCCAGTAGGAAACAATTGAGCACACTCTGCTGGACAAACTAAGTAATTACACAATTTCAAGCATTTTAGCTGCGTTATATGTTCTGTAAAAAAAATAATTCATATCGGTGGCATAATCGCTGATATATCGGTATACAGGCTCATATCGGCCGATAATATCGGCTAAACGATATACCGGTCAGGCTCTAGTAAAGATCATGTTCCATGAAGACATTTTGTAAATTTCCTACTGTAAATATATCCAAACTTAATTTTTGATTAGTAATATGCATTGCTAAGAACTTTATTTTGACAACTTTAAAGGCGATTTTAATAAAAGTAAAAGATCTAAATGTATTTATGCAATAAAAATATTGTAATACAAATAAATAAATAAATAAAAACTAGCACTGGTCCTAAAAATAGACCTACTTTTCCTGTCACAGAACATGAATGCTTGTTTTGTAGCCATTTCAGTAAAATGTGTTTTCAATTACTAGCACATACAGTAAGCAGTGAAATCACTATCCACTCTTTAAACAGTGAAGGTTCAGCATTTAAGGAAACACTTTTAATTTCAGAGAAACCAGATCATTGGGAACCAGACTGCAGGACCTCCTTCAGACTAGCTAATGAATGACGTCATGGACTGCTGAGAGTCAAGCGTGTGTCCACACCCACAGACTCAGCCCTACTGACGTAAATCTACTGAAAGCAGGAGAAGACCAGGGACTTTACCCAGAAAGCAGCAGTTTCCCATGAAGCCTCAGGTCAGCGGCGCAGTCCTCTGACAGACAGTTCTTCTCAAACCACGTCTGTGAAGAGTCAAACAGAGCACAGGATGTTTACACCAAATATACTGACAGTGAGTCAGTATAACCCGAGACGGGACACAAATACTAGAGGGTGCTGTTGTGCAAGACTTCACACACTCGATGGGACATTTTCCTAACGGCTTTCAAAGCTCCAGTATTTGAGTAGTGGTTTCAAGCATAAAGCACAAGAAAGTGCCGTGTGTTTGCATTGGACAGATTTAGACATCGACACCTTTGCTTTAGTGCTACAGACAAACTGCACAGTTACTAATAGCCTCAGATTCCATTGTAATGGATTCCTGATGCGCTGAAAGATGCCAGCAGCGTGTTTCCTAAAGCTGAGAAGGAAAAGCATGTGGCCTAATGGGAGGGTGGGTTATGAAGTGGGGTGTTGGCAAATAAATTCATCAATCTTCCACATTCCACTCACAAAGAGTCAACAGCCATCATCGAGCACTAACTAAAACCACATTTATAACTAGAGAAATTGATCATTTCTGGCATTCGGAGCTGCTGGGTGATGCCAACGGCAAATGAGTAAAAAGGTGAGAAACAGAGTAAATTAAAATAATGTACTATATGAGACCATTGTAAAAATATTAAAATGTAAAAACATGCAAAAACTACATAGAAATGTACACACTCAGAAATACAGGTACAAAATCTGTCACTGGAGCAATACCTTGCTAAAAGGTAGTAATATGCACCATTTAGGTACTAATATGTATACTTTTGATGCTAATGTGTACATTTATGGTACTAATATTCATCCTTTAGGAGTAAATAAGATACAGCTTTTGAAAGGGTACCACCCCAGTGATAGCTTTTGTACCTTTTTTTCTGAGAGTGTACACACACACACACACACACACACACAAGGGCTGTCAGCGTTAACGCAAATAACGCAAATATATTACTGAAGCATGTGGTATTGCATCATTAACATAATTTAGTCACTGAGATGATACTGGAAGTCTGGAGTTTATCACTGAGCATCTACAGGGGCACAAAGAGGTGGTAGGCGGAAATTTCTATTCTAACCCTTTAACCTGATTTTGCTTCTGTGTTTGTGATCAAAAACCACTCATCTCTGGGAAATTTTTCAGTCTGATGAACCATTAAGCAAATGCATTCAAACAATCAATCTAAAGCAGCTCCGCTGTAAAGAAAACCAGACTGATTACACTGATCACATTCCTGGCTGTATAAAGCAAACCAGTGTTTCGCTAGTAAAGTTTTGAAAGATAAGGACTGTAATCAAGGCAAAGATGATGCAGTGACATACAGGAGTCATACAGTAAGCACAGAGATTTTTCAGTAGATTCAGTACATTGTTTCCACACACATTCAGGATAATGTTTTGATTTGTCATGTGTATGTTGCTGTGTTTGGTCATTCTGAATGGATTTGTGTAGTGCCGTCTGCTCAAGACAGTTGGTTTAGTTTTGGCATCTCCAGTATTTCTGTTTGGTACAAAAGGTTGTGTCATGTTAGAACTTAATTTTGTAGGTGTAGTAAAAGGGGGAAAATTCAAACCTCGTTCTTTGCAGCGATCTTCTCTCCTTTTTTCCAGCGTAGAACAGGAGTGAGTGAGGGAAGGTCACGGTCCTGGTGTCCATCCACAACGTGTTTTCCTAAGCTGTAGGCTGCTTCAAACACGATGGCAGCAAACACATCCTTCACTTCTTTCTGTAAAAAGTTCAAACATGGGAAAACGTGATTTATAATTTTCTTTTCCTTTTTTTTTTTTTACATATGTATTTATAGTTTTATTAAGCTTTAGTTTTACTTCTATTAGTACTTAAACTACTTGAACTAACCTAACTGAAAATGAGAAATGTTGCTTTGGCAAATAGCTGTAATAAAATGAGTTATAATATACATATATATATATATATA